CCCAAGTAACAAGCGACAGGAGGAGAGGAAACAACCTCAGCTTGCACCAGGGAAGGTTTAGATTGGACATCAGGAAAGTTTCTTTACTGAAAGTGTTGTCAAGCACTGGAACAGGCTGCCCAGGACAGTGGTTGAGTCACCATTCCTGGAGGTATTTAAAAGATGTGTAGACATGGTGCTTAGGGACATGGTTTAGCGGCAGACTTAGCAGAGTTAGGTTAATGGTTGGACTCGATGAACTTAGAGGACTTCTCCAACCTAAAGGATTCCATGATTTTGCAGAACAAAGGCAGCAATCCCAGTCCATTGCCATATAGACAAGGCATAGGTGACCAACTCAGGCAGCACTGTAAACCAGCAGGTGGAGGGTGGACTCAGAGACTCCCTTGGAATTGTCTGGGGTTTGAAAAATGAAACAATAAAAGGTGTGTTCTTCACTCAGTTGCCTTGAGGGCATTGGCAAACTCCATTATTTCAAACAGCGCTGAAAGCAAGGTGAGGTACCTGGGATGGCAGCCCAAAATAAATGTCACCTGAGCTCAAGGTTAATGGTTCACCTCAATGATCTTAAAGGTCTTTCCCAACCTAAACGGTTCTATGAATCTATGATTCTATGGATATTTTGGATCCCAAGGATTTTGCCCTGATGATGGGTTTTGTAAGGCTGGGAGGGTGTTTAAAGGCTTGAATGGGTGATTCTGAGAAAATACGTTTCAGCACAGGAATTTCTACAGAAGCTGATTTCCTGGATAGGTTCCAGGCTAGGAAGGCACGTGAAAATCAGAGGTATAGGATCAATAGTAGGGTGTTCTTTTTTTTGCACTGCAGTAATTTTTCAGGTGGTGGTGGTGTGATTCTTTCAAAACCGTGATCTACTATGTTCAACTATACTAGGTGGTCTCAAAAGGCCTTAGCTTTACTTACAAACTTTGTCCTTCCTACCATTTGTACGCTACTGTAGCTGCAATAAAATGCCACGGTGCACAGTGGCACAGCCCAGAGGGAAAACAGATCAGACATCTTCCAGGAGGCGCCCATGGCAACTGAGAGATATGGATCAAGGCTCAATTGACTTGAAATGAATGCACTGATTATTAGAAAATCCAAGTTTGTTGTTCCTCAGTGGGTACTACTCAACAAATAGCTAGCACCTCTACCCAGCATATTTTTAAAGCTCTAATACAAAATGACAGTTTTCAACAAAGATACTCACTCATGTTAGTGGCAACAATGACAAAAGGTCTCATGTAGGTTTTCTTCATATTCTGGGCCACATTGTTGAAATACTCCTCATAGTGCCTGAGCAGGTGAGCGGTGCCACCCTCCGTTCGCTGAATTTGCTCCCAGTGCTCCTTATTGCTGGGGTCCAGTAGAGCACTACCCACTTTGATAATATTCTGAGAAACAAAGTACAAGCCCAAATTATGAAGCAAACAAAGTGCTGGGTCTCAAGTGAGGAATACTAAAAATGATCGGCATTACTGCCTCAGGTGAGTGTATAATGAAAATTTAATGCAGGCATGTTCTACTGCAGCCGTATGAAAATATGCACACCAGCTACTCACCCTAAGGTTTTTTTGTAACATAAAGAAAATCCCTCCAAACCTTTTATGAGCAAAGTAAGCCAAAATTGGAAGCCGTAAGAGAACTGCGTACTTTATTTCCCCTTTATGACAGGAAACGTAGCAGGAAAATGCAGAAGGAAAACCTAACCAGGTTTTCTTTGTCTTGGAGAGATGAGAGACAAGAAAAGCAGAGTGCTTGGTATGTACACTGAAGAACTCCCTCTGAGAAATCAAAATAATGTGATATATTAAAAATCAAAAGAAAGCCACAGACAGCAATATTGCTTTCTCTTTTATTTTATTTTTTTTTTTGCTTTGTTGATTCCTGAATAACTAGGACAACTTACATGGTGAAGAATGACAAGAGCGAATATTAACTTGCATATACAAACCTGAAAATACATAGGAATCATGTTGTTCTGCCCCTGTTTTTATGTTGCTTACAAATGCTGTTAAAAAGGACATTCTAGCTGAGGACATGCCCCTTCTGCCCTTTCTTGCATAAATATGCAAAGGGACCCTCAGGATGAACGAAAGAAAACCCGGAAGAGAGTGTCAAATGGCTTAAACGGGAAAGGAGCTAAAAAGTTTTTAATCTTGGTGTACATACGAACTACATTGTTGTGTCAAAACCTAATTCCTAAGTAAGGTAAAATTCACATTAATGATGCTGGGAATTAATCACCTGAAGCTCTAAAATAGCCAAGGCAAATATTTAGGTTTCATTTAGAAGCAGATGGAGAAGATGCTATATTCTCAGAGTCTTGTCTGAGGTTGCAAGCGTATATCTGAGATAAAAGAGGCTGTCGTGTGACTACCTTTATCAAGGGTGAGAAGCACTACATGGTTCCCCAGGAACGCAGGAGACACATGCTGTACTTGGTACCAGGCCTCCTCGGTGTTTGTGAATGTTATTTATGTTTTTTATTATCTACTTTTCAGGTTTCTACCTGAGACTATTAAAAAAAAAAAATTCTCCTTCTCCCCTTGTGCTCCCTCAGCCTAGGATGTTACCTCCTTTTTCTCATGAGCTTTACTGATCAGTTTTCAAATTCCTGACCTATCCTAAAAATATTTAGGGAGTTCTTGAAAACATCATCTGTATGACTTTCAGTGCCAAGTGCAGAGAACGATAAATTAAAGCAGAGGTTTCCAAACCATTTTGTTTTGCTTATTGTTCTTTTACTTAACAAAACATGCTAAAAATGAAGTTCCTTCTCAAGATCTGAATTGGGGAACATCATTCACTCCACAGCCCACAGGTACAAGTTTGTCAGCACAGTGTCTCCTTAGGAAAGGAAAAACTCAATCTCTTAAAATCTGGTGCATCTAAAATGCAAATGTTTCAGAAATTCTCTGCTCTTTCTTGACTGTACAACCCAAGACACTGAGGAATTTTCTCAGCCATATGTTCTCCTGTCACCACCTGCCCCAGGTATGTCCTCTCCTGGTGTAGCTTGGCCTTGCACGAGGTGTCCAAGTTCACCCCAAAGTCCACCTGACCTGGCTGTTCCTCCTGAGTACTGTGAGCTGGGTGTAGCACACCTTCAAAGGGAGCCAGACCACCTTTGGCCAGCACAGAGGCCAGTCTTGGCCCACGGAGGGTCATTCAGCAGCCCTATGCTAGTGCCTGACCTCCGGGCTCTGCTAGCACAGGTCCAGAAGGACGTTTTAGCTTGGACTCTGTGCTGTGCCATGGTTGGGATCTTGGAAACAGTACTGGCAAGCATGGACAGCAGTACCCCACAGTACACATGGCAAAGAGGAGAGCTATACGAGCCTGACATGGGTCATCAAGACTTCACATTTTCAGATCACAAAAAACTCCCAACTTCTTCCACATCTCACATTTTTCCACCACAAATACATGTTTCCCCCAGACAGGGAGGGTGCTATAGCTTGTTCTCTAGACCTGGTCAGGTCTTTGGTAATGACTGGGTCTTTCATGAATGCTCTGACTAGCAGAAGCCCTCCAGCATGCATTTTTGTATGTGCCTGCATCACTTAAAATATCAATACGGTATGGAATGTGATTCAGCGTACAAACTCTTTAATAAACATGGCTCAAGTGTTTCCAAACTGAAATATAAGAAAACTTCAGAGTCAGTAACTGTCTCAGAGTTAGTTCACTGCGCATTTAAATGCAAATGATCATGTTAGGCAAGTTTTCCAGCAAAACTGAATATGGTACATGAAGCTATTTTATCCTGGAATACCACATTACTTGAGAATTTCTTCTATTTGGGGAATTTTGCTTTTGGCTGTTAGGAGGATGATATTTATTATATCAGCACTTTTTATCATATTTGTATTACACACACATATGTGTACATACACACATGCATAACCAACTTTCCATTCTAAATTGAGAAGACTGCCTCATTTGTGAAACAGATTAAGCAAGTACATGATACTTGCTCCACCCTAGTCAAAGACAAATTTAATTATCCTTTGCCACAAAACTTTTAAGGGGAACTGTAAAGGCTCAGAACAATATATTTTATCTCTCTTACCTCATTGAATTCCACATCCCTCGTGGCTGCCAAGTCAAACCCTTGCTGCTGGCTCTCATACTGGAGGACCCGGATCATCATCTGGTAAGCTGTCCTCACATCGTTGCCATACAAGCTGTGTGTGTATTTGGTGGCATTCTGCAGCACTCTCACAATCCGTATGGTTTTGTCTCCATCCAACTTGGTCTCATTGTGGTGCAACTTCTCATTCTGAATCAGAGACAAGAAAAAAGAAAAAAACAATGATGCATCTTTTTTTTTTTTTCATTCTAGTTAGAAAGACAATCATAATTTAGGGATTTTTTGCACAAAGGAGTTGTTTCATCAAAATGGTGTTTGTCTTGAGAAAGGGTTGACAGGACCCAATGGAAAATGTAACTGAGAGCCAGAAGAGCACAAGGGTCCTGAGGGTAACGATGGGGTTCAAGGACTCAGTGAAAAGATGGGAGTGCTGGGATATCAAACCGGAGTCTGAATTGATGATTATTTACAAAATAAAGGCAAAACCGAGAAAACACAGCTTACCATGATTTTTAGATCGACAAAAGTGCTGGTGGTGCAGTTGAAAAGCTCAGGAGGCAGCCAGCCCTTCTCCATGTTACAATGGCGAACTGCGTTTCCTGAAGAAAACAAAGCATTAATGGTAAATAATGTTCTGAATTGTGCTTCATAGATTTCAAGTATCCCAGACTTTCACATTTCCTACATTTTCAAGATTCTTAGAGCTATGCATGTACTTCACTTTCCAAACTGGGATTCCTGTCTGAGAAAAGTTCAAGACTACTAATCTTCATGAATTGTTTTTCTCAGGCTTTAGAGAAAAGTGAAGCAAACTTCAAGATCTGCCCAACCACTCTCAGCCTCGCTGCCCTAATGTTCTCAAATGAATTCAGCAATTTATTTACACCAAATGTAAGAGAGACTGTGCACTTTCTAAATATTTCTGAAAACATATCCCTGCTCAGATTTCTGTGCAATAGCCTATAGAGGAGGACCTCCCAGATAAATGCTGTCTTCATGTCAAAACATGCTAGGACCTTCGCACGCTGCACGTGTTAAACACTTCAGCCAACACGTGGAACTGCTTTTTGTCACTTGTGAATGATCTGTGAGCTACTTACTGTTTAATTTAGCCTATTCTTTTGTAGTATTTGTCAAATAACTTTAAAATGTGATTCTTGGCTGTGGATCCTTCAGAGTGAATTGCAAGTTATCAAATTCAAAATTATTGTACTAGTTAACTTGCACATGACATATTGCATGTGGCTAAGCCATTTAATTACTAATATCTAAATAAGATTTATAATCAATTGAAGAATATCTAATTATATAATTTCTCTTCCATGTTTAGATGAATACATCTAAGCCTCAGGTTCTTATCTGGATATTCATCATTATAAAGCTTACTTTTTTTTTGAGTGTTCTGGAAAATTCACTTAAAACGTGCAATTCCGATAAGTACCCTTGCCTGCTATCCTAGTGGCTAGAAGAGACACTAGGGTCGACCACAATCCAGAAAACTTATTTTAATTTAGCTTTATACTGTTTAATAATTTAGTATTCTCCACTTAAAAGAAATAACAATCAGCTCTATCTCCAAAAATCCTCAGAACAGGTGCTTGGTTGACCACAAATCTTCTGCACACCAAGGCAGTGACCTCCTCTCAGTAGTATCTGGGGAAGTCACATAACCATTTATAACTCACTGAGCCCAAGGAGTGATCATAGCAGAGAGCTACCAGGCCCAGAAATGAGACAGAGTTTTCATTTCCCACAGAACAGCCTCTGGAAAAGATTGTGAACTCTGTTGTCAAAAATCTGATAAATGTTTTCAGGGACATACATGAAAAAAGCTGTCATTTGCTTGCTGTCCAAAACAACACAGCTCACGTGCTTTATAAAAATGTGTTTTTCAGCTGTCTGACTTAAGGGTTAGAGAAAAGATGTCGGGTAGAAAAACGCAAGTTTTGTTGTAACTCTTAGCTTTATTAACCTACAATGCTAACAAAGCAATCATCACTTAAATGATTTTCCTCATTTTATCTTTGCCCAGAGGAGCTGTATTGCTAAAGAACATGTACAAGTCACTAGAAACTAAAATTTACATGTGTAACAATTGCTTGATAGAGTGAACAGAAAATAGAAAATTGGACTGTGCTTTTTTGAAAATACAGACACAAAATTTCTGTTCTTTATAGATGTTTATCTGCTGCAGTTTTGTACCTATTTATTGCTACTACTCCAAATGTATTTTAACAGTTCTTCAGTTTCAGCTAGATAAACTTTTCTGCTTGTGATACGCATGAACTATGCTGTAACGTCTAGACCCAATGAAATAATGCCATTCCCTTTGTACACATTTTTTTTTTTTCTCTTTTTTTTCCCCTCAAACAGGCATATAGATAAAGTAGTTAATGTTTTATCCAGGGAACTTACCCACTGATCCCTTAGGACATGGCACGGCCGCTGGCTGGCCAAACTTGGTCTGTGGCCACCAAATACCAGCTTCGAAAGCTTTGGGACAGCCATTATAAATTACTGAAAGCAGAAAAAGAAATGATGCAATTTTTCCAACAAGATAAAAATCACAACAAGGAGATATTTCAACCAGCCTAAAGGACCTTCCTGTAATTCCCAAGCCCCATCAGGATACCTGTCCTCTGCAGTGCCTTCCAAGCTGTAACCCATCAGCTGCTCCTTACCCAGCAGTACGAGCAGACAAGTACAGGCAGAGGAGGATTCAGGATGATTATGGGGCCCTGGATTTTGGCTCTGCCTATCTTTGCCTGCTCCTTTATTGTGGGAAAACGTTTCTCCTTCATTTCACCCACACACTGTGGCGAGATGGCTGCTGCAGCAGCTTGGTGCTGATCAGAGGAGGAGGGTGGGTGGGTGAGAGGAAAGGCAGGATGGGCAAGATGGGGAAGAAAGGCAGAGGGCACAGCCTCTGTGGGCAGAATGTGCAAAGGCTCTTGCCTGCCTCTTCAGCTGCAGCACAGCACTACAATACTGCACTGGCAGATGAACTCGAGTTTCAAGTAAAATTTGGATTAGTGTTTTGCTCTCCCCCCTAAGCTTGCTGTATTTCCATTTGATGAAAATTAAAGAAATATGAACTTTCTTCTTTTTCCCCAGCCCCCATGAGTCACACTGGGGAGACTTAGGAGTGTATGTTTAGGCTGCTGCAGCTGCCATTGTCCCTGATGAAGCCACCCCACTTGGGCTCCCATGCAGCCCAGGACGCAGCTGCATGCCCACGGCTGTGCACCCCCCATCTACCCACTACTAGGAGCTCCGATCCTGCAACGACAGCCCGGCTGATCAGCAGCATTTGCTGGACAGGAGGTACCTTCACAGCCCTTCACGGTAACTTCAGCAAACGGGTTGTCGCAGCGGTTGCACTGCCGCCCTATGACGCCAGGTTTGCAAGGACACTGTCCTGTCTCCATGTCGCAGGCGCGCGTGTGGGAGCCAGACGGGAAGCAGTCACAGGGGTAGCAGGTGTCACTGCTCTGCGGCCTGTAGTAATTCGCCTAGAAAAAACAAAACGATAGACACAAGGTATTTGACTTACATTTCAAATTCCTTGCATTTCTGAAATCCTGCTCTAGCAGCATGTGTATCATAAAAGGGCTAATTTTGCAAAGCACACGATAATAATGATATTACTATTAACAGAAAATGTAATAGCTATGGGAAGTGAGCTGTGTTAGCCCGGGCAACATGGAGAGGCAGAGCTGAGTGCTGGAGGGATGGCTGGGCTGTCCTATGCCCCAGGGACCTAGGTTTGGACCACTTCTGCAGTGGGGGCAGAGGGCCTATGTTACTCCTTGTGTACTTGCTGCCAGTGCCCAGCAAGCGTATTCTTGGATGATTTGCTTTTTTCTGCTTTGCAATTCCACTCCTGTACGGCAGGAACAAGCCAGTAAGGAAACTTGCACCGTCCATTTGCGTTTCATGTAGAGGGCGGAGAGCAACCAATGATCACGTATTCAGATTGCATCTGTAAATGCTTTTGATCTGAGGCGTTACGCGATTACACAAGAGCATGGTGCTGGCACCCCACTGACTCGATTTAACGCAACAGTTGCTGTGTGTCCTGCTGGCATTTCGGAAAGGAGTACGGGGCCAGATTCACAGCCGCCAGTCTGCACAGGCCCCATACTCCTCTGATGTCATTCAACCCTATTGTAAAACCTATTGTGAGAAGTCCTTTGTAAAACCTTCAGGAGGGAGGCGCCTACCCTCCCCTGTCCCTCGTCTGTCCCTGCCTGTCCACAGCAAATTCCTCTTAAACTCCACAGAGCTGGCACTGAGGAAAGCATTTAGCCTCTCGTATTGTGTACCTCTCTCCAGCTGCTAGGCCTTTTGCTGGCCATTGCACAGTGGAGAGCTTCACCCAGCTGGCCCAAGCTGTTTCATGGCTATTACTCACTTGTGATACACAAAACACCACTGGCACTCCTCTGCACCCAGGTTTGATCTCCCCCGATAAACCAGGCTGCGCTTCAGAGAGATCAGAGCCAAGCTTTCATCCTCTCAGTTTTGCTTTCCAAATGCAAATAAGATAAGAGCTGCACAATATGATTTTGTGAAGGGTGGTGCCAGCAAAATACTTTAGGTAAAGATTAACTACACTGCGCACATATATACATGACACAAAGCACAACTGTGTGTACTTTGTCTCAGATACTCACTTGTTGTAGTTATTAGTGGTATAGTTACTTTTTAAACTAAAGAAATTTTGACTTAAGACTGGTTTCTTTTGCTTACCTTGCAATGGCATTCTCCATTGGTCTTATTGCAATCAGAATCAAACCCTTTACTGGTCTCACAATTACACGGGCCACAAATGGGATTTCCCCACCAGCCTCTGGGACAAGGCAGGTCAATCCTAGAAAAGAAAATCAAATTGAAAGTAAGTTCTTTTAAGTTTCCTCTTAAAAGGTGGGAAAAAAGAGCTTTGGGCTAAATCTGCACTCAACTCCATCAGCTTATAGAGTGTAACATATCTCACTGCAGCGGCCAACAATCAATACATGTATAAACATACACACTGTAATAAAAGAAAATAAGGAATATCAGTGCTATGAAACCCTAGAGGGAATATTTCTCTAAATGTTTTCAAGATCAGCTCCTCTTTATAAGGACTATACATCCGTAGGAGCAAATAAAGTCCTCTTTCCTATGGGAGAGGGTAATGGGGCCCATGCTGCCTAGTGGAAGTGGTCCTGGTCCCACCAGCCCCGCTCCCCTGCTGGGGAAAGCACTGGATGGGGCAGGCTGGACAGCCTGTGTCACAGAATCACAGAATGTTAGGGGTTGGAAGGGACCTCAAAAGATCATCTAGTCCAACCCCTCTGCCAGAGTAGGACCACCTAGAGTAGATCACACAGGAACGCGTCCAGGCAGGTTTTGAATGTCTCCAGAGGAGACTCCACAACCTCTCTGGGCAGCCTGTTCCAGTGCTCTGTCACCCTCACAGTGAAAAAGCTTTACCTTATGTTCACGTGGAATCTCCTATGTTCCAGCTTGCACTTCACCAGCTCAGACAACTGCTGGTGGTGCTGAGCCTGTGCCCTGGTTTTACCTACCGCCATGAACCACCTCAGGGTACAGCTCCCCAACACTTTATATCCCACCCCCCATCGTCATGGGTTCCTGCCCCTGCCCTGACGTGGGCAGCAGTGCTTGTCCAATCTGCAGGGACACCAGCCCAGGTGCAAAGCTGGCTGCAAGCTCACGCTACGAAGAAAAGTCACTACTTTCAGCCAACCTGGCTTTCTCAGCCAGCTCACACCAGGGTCTGAAAAGCTCTGGTCTCCCACAGGGGAGGAGGAGGAGGACACATGTGGTTGAGGCCATGGAAGAGGGAAAGGTGGCAGCTTTGACCCAGACTATGAATCAAAGATCATCATTCAGACTATGAGTAGAGCAACACCGCTCATCGGAAGCTGTGCAGCAACCCAAAAGCCACCTCTGCTGAAGGACAACCCTCGTTTTTGCTGGTTCTGTTTCTTCTGGGTGAGCTTCTGAGCAGGTTTGTCCCACAGATGCCCCAACACTAGTGCTGGCAAGGAGAGCTCTGGGAAGTGGCTGGGGCAGCAACCTTGGCCTCTGCTAGCTGGAAGTCTTCATCAAACAATAGCCTGAAGGACAACACTGCTGAGTCTGTGATCAGCATAATGCCCAAGGAATTCTGTCCCTGCTGCTCATTTTAGGAAAGAAAAGCTGTAAAGCTGTTTGCCGTCTGTTTCAAAGACCACGCTGAATTTTGTTTATGGTAATTGCCAGGTTTGTACTTCTGTGCTTTATAATATGAAAAACCACAACGCTGCACTTGACATGAAGTCAGCAGATAACGACAAGGGACAACATCTCTGTGTTGCTAAACCAGAGGAATGAAAGATGAATCTGGCAACAGCAGGGCCAACATTTGCAAGCCCACACAACAAAAGACGGAGGAAGAAGCTTTTGGTTTTCAAAGGGAAGGAAACATCACATGAGCTATTCCTAAATGGGCAGACAAATGCACTTCATTTGCACATCATGAATGGCCCATATTACAGTAAATCAAAGTGCCGTCTCTGGGATAAGGCTGGTTGCTGAATGTTTATCTGAGACCAGGAAGCCGGTGACGAGGGAATCAGCACGTTTCTCCCACAGAGCAACAGCACACAGGCCTCTCAGACTGTCCAGCAGGGATGGCTTTTTGCCAACCCAGGGACTGGACACAAACTGCAAAGCCTTTTTATCTGGCCACAAGCCAGCTAACTGGGTGCGTTGCTCTGTGTGTGTGCTGGGGGAGCTGAAGGAGAGATGCAGAGCAAACTCAGGCCAAGCCCACCACTAGGTACAGGTCAGATGCAGTGCTGTGTAACACAGCACAATTGGCTGAGCCCCTGAGTTGCTGATGAAGAAAAGCGGCCCTTGAGTATATGGAAGTTTGCGTGGTCTCTGGGAAGAGAGCTCAGGAGTGCCAAAGGGCAGGGAGCCTGCAAATAATATCCACGATGAACACTCAAATTGTAACAGGAAAGCTAACTGAAGCAGAAAAGAAAGCGGGAGGACTGCTGCCTTAGGAGAAATGCTACCTGGAAGGATCAAGAAACCAAGAACAAAAACAATTCTCTTACTTGCTCTCACAGTACTGTCCATAGTAGCTTTGTCCACATTCACAGGTGTAGCCATGGGATGAGCTAGGTTTGTGCACGCATGTGGAGACATGCTCACATGGGTTCAAGTTACATACATCAACACAGTCTCTTCCAAAGTACCCTGGGGAGACAAGGTCATAAAATCACAGCAACCATTGTAATTTACGATTTGCATGTCTCCAAAAGATCATCTATTTCAGGCTTATACACTAATAACAGATCTTCAATAATCAGTAGATTCCCCCTGAGATACTGTCAGAAAAAAGGTACTCTTTTCCCTCTCAGCAAAAAAGATAGTGGGTTGTTCTTTTCGACAGTCTGTTAACATGCTCAAGGCACCCTTGTGCCTTTGGTTTCCAGTTTTATATTCATGGCATGTGTTACAAATAGTTTTGTATTCTCTCCCTGTGTGTATGGGAGGTGACTGTGCTGGGTGCTGACAGCATGTGCTGGCAACATGCACCAAAACAGAGAAAACATTCAAAGTATCTCGATTAGGATGCAGGGTGTGAGACTGAAATTCAAGAGCAGAAAAGGCTGGGAAAGAAAAAAAAAAACCAAACATCAAAAAGGGGAGGTGCATGGAAAGGGCCCTTTGGACTAGAAGCTGTCTTTGTTTGGTTGATATGTTGCCTAGAACAAATGATCCTTCGTCCATGACTGCAGTTTCAAGGGTGCTACAGTAAGACTGGGAAAGATAATACTGATTGGAAGAGGAAGAATCAGAAGATGAGCACTTTGCAAGCATGCTGCTGCTGTCGTTGCTCTTCTGATGAATGCCTGAAGATGTGATTCAGCTCCTGGATGAGTGCGTGGGATGGTCACCGGCTTACCTGGATCACAGACGCAGGAGTAGCTGTCCCAGTCGTCACTGCAGTAGCTGTGCTGGGGACATGGGTTGGAATCACAGGGGTTATCCACTTCGCAACCCTCCTTCACGTTGATCTTGATAGCCTGTTTCATGTTGAGCGTAGCTGTATTTGTCGATGTCTCCCCCATTCTTACTCCCTGATGACAAAAGACAATTATTTTTAAATTAAGTTTTCATTCCAAATACAGTACTATGTGTTTCACTGCTTCCACTAATCCATGAGGCTACATTTTAAAGAAACATCACCTGATAAGCCAAACCCAGATTTTTGTTTTCAAATGCTGTTCCCCTGTGAGACCAGATTTTTACCTGGGAAAGTGGGTGGCCTGTAATATTCTAATTCTTAGATATTTTGATAGAAGAAACAAATGTTTAGGGATGGATGAAAAAGAAAAACTCCCATTTTCACATAAGTATTTTATTAAAAGTTCAAAGTTTGTTGCTACACTTTTCATTTCATACCTGCATACAGCCATAAAATCCCTGCTGAACAGAGACTTGGTCTCCAGAGACACCTCCCACAATGATGCTTTTCATTTTCAGTCCAGGTAGTTGATTTCCAATCTGCACAGTACTCTGTTAAGGAAAAGGACAGTCGATAAGAAGCACTATCATCCTCTGTGACACAGACAGCCTACTTTCTGTAGTGATGGAGTCAAGCAGCAGCTGACAGTAGATTATAGAAAAAATATCAAATCAGTGAGAAGCTAGACATCTGAATGTGGCTTTTCACAGACTTGTTCATAAGATATTATTAGGCTTAACAAATTAATATAACTTTATTAGGCACAAGACACTGCAAAACACGGCTCACAGCATAAGTATTTGTCCATAAGCCTTTATCCTACTGTTCTCTTAATAACATTTCTGTAGTGCTTAGTGGTGAAGTCATGATGCTGCGTTACCTGATACATCCCGTAGTCCAAGGACATGACAGCAAGGTACTTGATGTCTTTACCATCTTTAGCACTCTTCAGCTCTATTAATAAATGGTGCCACTCTCCATCACTGACTCGTGACTGGCTCATCTTCAAACTAGCAACCTGGCTCAGGCCACTGTACACTTCAAACTGCACATAGTTGTTCAGTATCTGTTGAAAAAAAAAACCCTCCATGTCTATTTTTTGCTACATATTTGTATTTGATATGGAAGGGATGGGGGGGTGGGGGGCAAGATAATAACATTTCCTAAGAGAACCCAAAAGGGAAAAAAACTCCAACAGTAACGAAGGGAACATTTGCCATAACTCCTTGTATAACTTTGGATGTTCAGACTTTAACTTACCCTACTGACAAAAAAAAACCCAAAACAATCAAAAGACACATTTTATGTGTATGTATTAACACACACTACTACCTCCTTTTAAAAAAATAATCCTAAACCAATGAATCTGAATTTTACAATGATCTTTTGATCTTTGTAAAAGGCTGACGAAATAATTTGTATTTATTGATGTGCATTTAGCTGGGTGGATGAAGCTATGTAGTTCATGTGGCCATGTCCCCTGATGAGGGAGAATTTCTTAATTCTTTCCTAACCAAAGGCAGCCACGTTTTTACCTGAATGTTGATCTTGGATGCAGCCCCGGCATTGGCTTGCATTAACATGCCATTGACTTTACGGGTTCTGAACATCAGCCCAATGTACCACGGCACAGAGATGGTAATGTCAAGGTCACTCCAAATGATAATGCTTTCACCGCTGAAACGCTGAGGAGAAGGCATTGCTGTAAATCAAAAGACAGGAGAGAAACAGTTGATGTCCTTCAGAACAAAGGTTAAGAGGAGAAGTGACACTATGCAACGGTGATGGCGCAAGGTAGCTAGTCCCCCTTCCACTGAGACATTTTTAATTTACTATAGAGGAAGAGCCAGTCTAGGGGAGTTACTATGAAGCAGCTGATAATACTGTAAATTCATAACCTACCCTTGTTGTGGAGTAGGCACCTTGTTTCGGTGCCTGCACTCAAAGGCAGCCCTTCTACACTGCTACTGCATTACACAGGCGACAGATGCTCCTAGAAAGGTAAGCTCAGGCTCTCTACTGATACAGTCCTGCTGATGAGTGGGTGGACAGAGCAGGAAATACGAGAGCAACAGTTGCTACAGATGTTTTCAACATATCCTTGATTACCTGCTTCTAATTAACAGATTAAACACAGAGGAAAAGACTGGGAGGCAACAGGAAATATTAATTAATTATAAATACTGCAGGGCCAGCTTATTAAGCCATCTCAGCTATGCAGCCTTTTCACAGGGAGAAATTGCCTAAATCATCTGCCTTAAATATCCTGAGGTGGCAGCTGAAGAGGTGCTCTCCTCTCTAACCTTCCATGAACACAGCTCCTACAAGGAGACATCGATAACAGCCTTCAATGGAAAGCACTTTGCTGATGGAAAATAGGGGAACACCCACCTTTTGGACTTTTAAAGTAGTTACCTCAGGTAACAGGAGCTACATTACCAAGGATTAGTGGATCCCACTGATTAGATGCACAAATTAAGCTCTGGGAGCTGTGCGCTATTTGCAGCACCTCATACGGCACCTCCACCTTGCACAGCACCTTGTAGT